TGAAAACTATCAATGTTCTCTTAATTTTGAAATTTAATGGCCTTTCTCAATACTCATCCTTTTTAGCCTCTCACATTGTTAATCACTCTATTCTTCTTGATGCTGTCTTCTTTTTAGGTTTTTGTAACATTGTTCCCTTCTAGTTCTCCTGCTATTTGATTACTCTTCAGTCTCCTTTGCTGGGTATTCATCCAGGTTGAGTCTACTAACTATTGGTGTTCCTTAAAGCTCTGTTCTAGACCCTTTTTTCTTTTTCCTCTACATTATTTCACTTGATGATCTCATTAACTTTGATGATTTCAATTATTATCTCTTTGCAGATGATTCTCAGGTCTATTTTTCCAACTCTCTTCTGATCTCCAGTCTTGCATCTCTAACTGCTTATTGGACATTAGACGTCTTAAATCCAGCAGGTCTAAAACTGAACTCCTTATCTTTCCCCCTAAACCCTGCCCTCTTCCTAACTTTTCTGTTACTGTTATCACCATCTTCCCAGTCATCCAGATTCAAAACCTATCATCCTTGACTCTTCACTTCTCTTTCTCTCACACACACACCCCACATCCAATCTGCTGCCAAGTCCTATCAGCCTTACCTTTATGGTATTTCTTGTAACACTCCCTTCTCTTCACTGCCACCACCCTGATGCAGACTCTCATCACCTCATACCTGGATTATTGGAATAGTCTTTCAGTTGATCTCCCTGCCTCAAGACTCTTCCCCACCACAGTCCATCTTCCACTCAGCTGCCAGAGTAAACTTGTCAAATTGTCAGTCTGACCATGTCATCTCCTCCTACTCAAATAACTTCGTCATTTCCATATTATCTCTAATATCAAATATAAAATCCTTGATTCATAACCTGTCCCCTTCCTACCTTTTAAGTCTTCTTTTTTCACTTTGCTACTTGCCATAAAATCTAAAATCCAGCAACATTTATTGTTGTTCAGTCATTTCAGTTGTGTACAATTTTTTGTACCCCATTTGGGGTTTTCTTGGCAAAGATACTGGAGTGGTTTGCTGTCTCTTTCTCCAGCTCATTTTACAGATGAGGAAACTGAAGCCAACAGGATTAAGTGACTTGCCCAGAGTCAAACAGCTAGTAAATGTCTGAAGTTGGCTTTGAACTCAGGAAGATGAGTCTTCCTGACTTCAGACCCAGCACTCTATCCAATGTGCTACATAGCTGACCCCAATGATATTGCCTTCTAGCTATTCTTTACACAAAATGCTCCATCTCCTGACTCCACGTGCATTCATTGGCTGTTCCCCACGTCTGTAATACTGTCCCTCCTTGTTTCTGTGTTCCACCTTCCCTGGCTTCTTTTAAGTGTCTGTTAAAATCCCACCTTCTACAAGAAGCCTTTCCTAGTCACTGCCTTGCTCAATAAATTCGTGGCTCTCAATTGTCTATAGGACCAAATACAAATTCTTGTGCTTAGCATTTAAAACCTCCAACCTACCTTTCAGAGCATTTTACATATTACTCTGCTTCCCACACTCTATAATCCAGACAAAATGGCTGGCTATACCTTAAATATAGCATTCCGTCTTTGCACAGACTATTCTCTGTGCTTGGGGGGCACTCCTTCCTCTCCTCCACCTCTCAGAATTCTTGGTTTCCTTAAAAGCCCAGCTCCAATACTCTTCACAAATGAGGCCTTTCCTGATCTTCTAAGCTTATGGCACCTCTCCTCCCAAAATTATCCTTTATTTACTTGTCATTGTATGTGTTTCCCCACCACTCCCACCCTACCACCAGCAGCAATAGAATAGTAAGCTCTAAAAGAGCCAAGAAACTGCTGTGTTTGTGTCTCCAGCACCTGGGACAGTGCCTGGCACAAAGTAAGTACTTAAATGCTTGTTGATGCTATTATTCCAATTTTACAGATGAAGAAAAATAAGGCTCGGGGAGATTAAGTGATTAACCATGGTCACACAATTAATAAGGATTCAAATTCTTGACTCTAAGTCTAAAATGTTATTCATTTCACCATGCAGTTATATAGGAGGCAAGAAGTTCCAGAAAGATATAACAAAATTTACAGTTGATTAATCTATCAAGAGTTATTAAAAGGAGACCTAGACTGGTCTATGTAGGTTGCTAAGCTAGGAGATAATGTTACATCAGACAGAAACCGTGCTATCAGACAAACTGTTCCTCTGGGCCATTGCCAGAAACTGAAACCTGGGCTAAATACATCTTTGGTTTAACCTTGTATGACAATTCTTATGCTCCTCTATTCCATATGTCACCCTGAGGACTCTCAGTTAGAACTCAATTCTTGACCTGACTTACCTCAGGGAAGGTGAAGAAGAGATGTGGCCTCTTTTCTTAAGCACAGCTTTATAAAGCAGTCGCATCCACATAAATGCCATCTGTGTTTCTGTTTCCTTGTTCTATGAGTTTAATGCACCTGATATTTTGTTAGATTATCATAAGATTTGTACAAGACCTCAGAAATAAAATCAAATCCCTTGATTTTACAGATAAGAAAACTGAGGCTCAGAAAAGTCAAGTGACTTGACCATGGTCACATAGACAATAAGTATCAGAATACAATCCCAGATTTTCTGATTCCAAATCCATTGTTTTCACTATAACTGTACCATATTGGCTGGCATGTTTGTGGTTCTTGAATCTACACTGATGGGAAGAGGTAAAAATGACTTCTCAGGCTGGAAAAAGAGCCAAGATTTTCCCACTTCCAGGCAAGGGCTCACTTTATATACTACCTCTCTTCCACTTGATCATCAGTAAGGAGTTCAAGCTGTCCAGGGCACATATATTATGATGTTCAAGAAGCTGGTTTTTAAGGGCCAGCAAGGTTGCTCAGTGGGTAGAGCACTGGCCCTGGAGTCAGGAGGACCTGAGTTTGAATCTGGCCTCAGACACATAATACTTCCTAGCTGTATGACTCTGAGCAAGTCACATACTACTTCACTTTAAAAAAAAAAGGAGCTGGTTTTTAGATTCATTAGAGCTTGAGCCATCTTTCAACCTCAAACTGGCACTAACAAGCATAAGTAACACATCACAATGTAAGATTGTGACTAGCAGGAGAGTGCCTATTGAACTACGAGGCTGTCTTCAGATCTTATCAGCCAGACACTTGTCAGGGTATTACCACCACCACCACCTCCCAAGTTGTTGTTTTTATATATGTATAAATTATATATATATATATATAAAATTATATAAATATATAATATTATATTTTTCATTAAAAGAGATCTATTTTCTCTTTTTCTCATCCCCCATCCCATTGAAAAAACAAAAATAAGTTTCTTATAATAAATATGCATGATCAAATAAAACAAATTGCCTCATGTCTCATTCTGCACCCTAAGTCTATCATCTCTGTGTTAGGAGATAGTAATGTGCTTCATCATGGGTCCTCCAGAATCCTGGATGATCATTGCATTGATCATAGCTCTTGAAGCTTTCAAAGCTGTTTATTTTTAAATGTTGTTGTTATTGGATAAATTGTTCTCTAGATCTGCTCATTTCATTCTTCGTCGTATTTATAAATAAACAAATTTATAGAATTTATTCATCATTTATAAAAGCCTTCAAAACTATTCATTTTTATAATATTGATATCATAGTATAAAATTATTCTTCTGATTCTGCTTACTTCACTCTGTAGCAATTCACCAAAGTTTTCCCACACTTTTTTGAAAGCATCCATTTCCTCATTTCACAATAGTACACAATAGTTCACCACATTGTTCTATCACATTTGTATTCAAATTTTCAATTCGATTACCATTTATTAAGCATCTACAATGTGCCAGGCACTGTGCTAAGTGCTGGGGAGATAAAAAGAAGCAAAAGACAATTCTTGTCCTCAAGGAGCTTACAATCATATAACACGTTTGGTTCAGCCAGTAATTATATATATTGTTTTCCTAGTTCTGCTTTCCTTGCTCTACTATGTCAATTTATGAATCTTCCCATGTTCCTCTAAATTCCTCATATTTATCATGTTTTTTACTATGCAATAATATTCTGTTATATTCATGTACCACAGTTTATTTAGTCATTCCTCAATCTATAGTAACTCACTTTGCCTCCAATTTTCTACCACAAAAACTATTGCTATTAATATTTTGCTCTATGCTAATATCTGGTTTAGAGAAGCATGGATTAAGTATAAATAATCATAAAGAGCACTCACGGTCCAGCACTTGCTGACCTCTAGTCCGTTCCAATGTTAACACTCTATTATTCTTAATTTCATTCTTCTGCAAGACTAATAAGAATCAGAAAGATTGGCAACAAATTGACAAGCAGCTGGTACCTCATGCTTCCACTGTGCATAAGCCATGCCTCTTAGAGTCCTGGGGGAAGGACAGCTGAAAAGGACAGGATGGGAGAGCTGTAGCATAGCCAGATAGGTCCCCTTGCCTCTCTTCCTTCTGACTACCAATTTTTATTAAATTTATAATATCCACTCTCTTTATTTGTATTTCTATTTATCATTTGTGTACATGTCGTATACCTCTTATTAGACTGCAAGCTCCTTGAAGGCAGGGGCCATATGTCAGCTACAGTGAACATCATAGATGTGACCATGTGAGAAATGATGAATAGTGTTTTAATAAGGCTTCAAGGCTTATAACACATTCCTACCCACCTACCCAATCACCTTGTGAGGTAAGTAGCTTAAGCACTTAGCTTCACATGTCGTTTGATCATGGACAAGTCCCTTAGCCTCTAGGACCTTCAGGCTCCTCATCTATATAAAAAACAAATGCTGCACTTCCCTCACAGGACCATTGTGGCTCTAAATGAGATAATGTATGTCAAGATCTTTGCAAACATTAAAGTGCTATGTAAAGATCAACTGCTGTTGGTATGATTCTGCCTACAATATTGTCTGAACTCTGCAGAGAGATGTGCTCTTTAAATGAAAGGATTTTTTATTAAATGTAAATTTTGCCCTCTGCTTTATTTCTAATTTTTCTTTTTTCCATATCTGTATATTATGGTTTAGGCACAGCTATCTCAAGCATTGAATGGTGTTTCTGATAAAGCAAAGGAGGCTAAAGAATTCCTAGTTCAGCTCAAGAACATACTTCAGCAGATCCAGGTAAGGATGTCCTGGGGCCGTTTGAGGATGACTGCCCTCAAACCCTCTCCTGGGAAGGATTTGTTAAGTGATGAGTCAGCAAGAGAATAACAGGCTCATTTTAGAGGATTGGATTGGTTATAAAATGAAGCCCAAGCCTTGACCCTTGGAAACATGACAAAAGCAAGTTATTGACAATTATCTGACAGCTAAGAAAAGAAAGGAAATGGTTAAATAAAAACTAACAAAGTGTTATGAGTGTCATAAGGAGGCAGGTGGAAGGAGCAGGGCAGAGGACCTGGTTTCAAGTGCTGCCTCTGAGGCTGACTTTATTGAACCTGAGGTTCCTCATTTGTAAAATTAGGGAGTTATATTAGATGACCTCTGAGGTCCCCTCCAGCCCTACATCTGTGATCTATTAGAATATTAAAGTTAGAAAGAACCTTTAGATCTTAAATTGTTCATCTGTAAGATAAGGGGGTCAGGCTAAATGGCCTTTAAATTTCTTTTCATCTCAAGGATGACATAAATAGAGCTAGGCTGGGAATAGTATAAATAATGAATTCTGTAAAGTGGTTAGCATTATTCAAATTTGCACTGCACATCTTCATTTGACTAAAAGCAATTACCATGTTTTATACAGATATAATGTAAAGTTTAGATTCAGTCAAAGGGCTGTACTTGAGGACCTACAGGGCCACAGGTGGCCTCATGGATGCGTGTTTCCCACCCCTGTTTGAACTGTACTAATTTTAATACTTACAACCACCTCCCAGGATTCATTATTTACACTAATTAGAACCTGGCTAGTACAATAAAAGCATCTCACCTAACTCCCTTATTTTCAGAGAAAGAGAGATTACGTATGATACATTATTTTTCAGTAGTTGAGAAGATCTGTGATTCTGTAGATTATAGGATTTCCTCCATTGACACACATTTCATGACTTTGAGGGCCAAAAAATTCCTCTATTGGTAACCAACACTTTGGCAATAAGGCTGTCTAAATTTAGCTAGGCTAGTTCTTAGATGGCAGGTACATAGTTTGTCAGAAGGCCTGTACTTAAGGCCTTTCCAGCTTGAAAAGACCTGCCCACGTTTATATTCCACTGACAACTCAAAAACATCTTTGTTCCAAAAGCAATGGTCAGATAGGACTTTAGTGGCAAATATGTGGTATATAATAGTGTGGCACATGTTCTGGAGTGAATTTCTCAGCCCTTACTCATGCTGCAGTGCTATGTCCCCAGAAGGTGGCTACTACATCCCCTCAAGGCTCTAAAAAAAGGGGTTGGCAAACTATTGCTGACATCTACCACCGGTGAGCTAAGAATGGTTTTTATATCTTTAAAGAAAAAAGTTTTATTGTATTTTTAAATGTAGAAACCATTCTTAGTTGACTGGCTGTATAAAAACAGGGATTGGCCAGGTTTGGCATTCTGGCTATAGTTTGCCAACCTCTGCTCTAGAGTTAACCTGAAAGGGGGAGTAGGTTTTAATGTCATTGCTCATGAGCCCCCACCAGTGTGGTTCACCTGATTATCGACTGATATTAGTTAGTCAAACTTGAGTAGCTTTTAGAAATGGATATTTACTATAATACCATAGTTGGTACAAAACACTCCCCCTCCCCAAAGTCTACAACACTGTACCACAAGTACATACAAAATCCAAGGGAAAGTGTACTCAAGCTTAGAACACAAAGGGAATAGTTCACAGATTCTGAAAGTCCTTTTCTCCTTTTTGTGGAGTCCTCGTGGTGTTCCCTTTAGGGTATAAGTGTAGTACAATATAACTTTTCTGCTTAGGCTGCTTGGCCTTTTCTCCTTGATTCCAAACTGTTCTTGGATTCTGATGTAGACACTGCCATTAGCTGTTCCAGGAACACTGCTCAGATACCAATAAAAGTCCAAATATTCTGATATTCTGAAGTTCCCAAGGTTTTCCTCTAACCAAGGTGGGGGGTGGGTAGGAAACTAAGAACTCTCCTCCCCATCAGGTTATTCCTTTTTCAGGGGCTTCGATGAAAGGTTTCCAGTACTAAACAGCTAGATACTCAATTCCTTGATTACAAATTAGCTTGAGGATTTTATAGAAACACCATAGAATATTACCAAGTCTCTCAATAAATCCAAACAGACTTCCTGTCATACCTAGTTGAAATTCCTTTTATTGAATGAGTGATTCAAGGGTATCTATCTTCTGACTGATTACTTATATCAAGATATGTTCTTACCTGATAATCAGGGATAAGTGAAGTAAGGTGACTGACTCAGTAACTACCACTCCTTTATAATAAGATTATACACACACACACACACACACACACACATATACACATATACACATACATACAGAGAGAGAGAGAAGAAGAGGAGAGGAGAGGGGAGGGAAGGGGGAAGAGAGAGAGAGAGAGAGAGAGAGAGAGAGAGAGAGAGAGAGAGAGAGAGAGAGAGAGAGAGAGAGAGAAAACTGCAAGGAATTTTAGAAACTAACTAATCCAACCCTCTCATTTTATAGATGAAAAGATAGAGAACCTGAGAGAGACTTGCCCAAAGTCTCATAGGCAGTAAGTATCAGAGGCAAGATTTGAACCCATGTCCTCTGACTTAAGATGCAGTGTTCTTTCCCCTATATCATGCTTCATGTTTATATGTGTGTGTATATATATTCTGAACATAGCATATGCACATTGAAAAGCCACATGACATGATGGATAGAGGTCCAGCCTCGGGCTCAGGAATACCTGGGTCCAATTCCTACCTCTGCTACAATATTGACTGTATGACCATGTGCAAGTCACTTAATCTTGCAGTGCTCAAGGAAACTTTCTTAGACTATAACTCACGGATGGTCCCCAGTCTATAACAGTGGAAGCAGTTTCTATACTATACTATACCCATGAAATCAAAGGTCCAAATAAGCAAAAGGCACAATAATTACAATTCACATTTAAAGGATACTTTAATATGTTCTATTATATAATTGCATGCCTAATGTAATATATTTTGTATTTTTCTAATTATATGAAGCACTTTCCTTAGAGAGATTAATCAGTTTAACCAGGGTCACATAACTAGTAAGGAATTTATTCAAGGTCAAGGGGCTAGTAGGTAGCTGGTCCTCTAACTTGGAGTTCTTTAATCTTTCCACCACATCACAGCTTCCTCCAACATATTTATAGTCATATTTGCGTAAAAAGATCATGTTTCTTGTTAAGCTTTCAAAAAGGAATAAATTGTAGGACTATTGAGTTGTTAGAGATTCACTAAAGACTAGTCCTCTTAACAAGCTGAAGTAGGTAGTCATGAAATGTTTCAGGCCACAGGTTAAAAAGGAGGATGGGGAGGAAACACAAAGAAATATAACATTGAGAAACTACTTAGATGCTGAAGATACAGGGGAACTGATAGAGATAAAACCTTATGAAACAGATTTTCACTTTAACTTTTCTCCTTGACAAACCTTGATTTCCCCAGGAAAATGGGCTAGACTATGAGGCCTGCTTGGTTGCTCAGTGTGATGCCCTGGTTGACGCTTTAACTCGACAAAAAGCCAAATTACTCACCAAGGTCACTAAAGAGCGGGAACACAAATTGAAGGTGAGTAACTGGGAGCCTGTTTCCTTGGGAGCTGTCCACTAGAAGAAATCTGTTTTTCGGTACCCATTCACAGTCTCCATGGAATAAAGAATTTTAACGTTCTTTGTTGTTGTTCAGTCATTTCAGTCATGTCCAACTCTTCATGACCCCATTTGGGGTTTTCTTGGCAAAGATGCTGGAGTGGTTTGCCATGTCCTTCTCCAATTGAATGCTCTTATCAAATCAGAAAATATCACATCAACCACTTGCCCTTTCTACAGAAACATTCATGAGGGTATACCAGGGGCACATCTCTCCCTTTTTAGAACCCACATGCTTCAGGCTCATGTCATCTGGGAAGCTTTCACCTCTTGTCAAACTCACCTGCCCCACCACAGTCTATAAATACACACATAATTCCAACTCTTGCAGTTACTGCATTTACCTATACTTCTATTCCTTACATAGAAGTTTCTCATCTTGACTGTTTAATGCAAGCTCCTTGACAGTGTGATTTAGGTCTGCTTTTAATATGTATAGGCTTTGTGGTGGAGACTCACTCAGGACACAAAGGTGTTAGGGACACAATGGGGATTTTCTCATTTTGTTGGCTCCTAGGATCCACCCAGGAAACATGGGATAATATACATACATGAGACTGCAGCTGACTCCCCACTCATATCCACATAGTGTGCAGTATTACAGAATAAAGTTTTATCAAAAGAAGAGAAAGATGTAACACATATATGCAAAGACACAAGAATCATCCTTAAGTATGGGGCTGTTCTGACAAAATATTTTTCTTGTTTTTGTTTCTGGTTGGGCAATGGGGTTAAGTGACTTGCCCAGAGTCACATAGCTAGTTAGTGTTATGTCTCTGAAGCTGGATTTGAGCTCAGGTCCTCCTGAATCCAGGACCAGTGCTCTATCCACTGTGCCACCTAACTGCCCCCAACATATTTTTCTTATAAGTTCAGCTTTGCTCTGCTTGGCCAGATGTATACCTGAGTTCAATGTCTGGTTTTACCATGAGACCTCGGTCAAATTATTTCATATCTCTGGGCTTTAGTCTGCTAATCCATAAAATGAAGAGGTTGAGCTAGATCAGCACTTCCCACACAGTATTCCACAGCCCTGATGTTGCCTGTAATGGCAATAGAATCACATGAGAAAGTATAAATGTGAATCAAAGTTTTTCCTAAAATATTGAATACAAATTATATTCATATCAAAATACTCATTATTGGGACATCTGGATGGCACGGTGGATAGAGCACTGGCTCTGGAGTCAGGAGGACCTGAGTTCAAATCCAGCCTCAGACATTTGACAGTAAGTGCTGTGGGCAAGTCACTTAACCCAATTGCCTAGCAAAAACACAATGTTCATTATTTCCAGAATTTTTAAGTGGAGCTTTTTTTTTAGGCAATTGGGGTTAACTGACTTGCCCGGGGTCACACAGCTAGTAAGTGTCAAGTGTTTGGTCTGAGGCTAGATTTGAACTCAGGTCCTCCTGACTTCAAGGCCAGTGCTCTATCCACTGCACCACCTAGCTGCCCTTCCAGAATTTTTCAGTATAAAAATCAACTTCATTTTTCTTCTTTGCTCGAAAATTTCCCACTTCTCTTTCTTTGTGGTATTCCATAACCCTAGTTTTGTAAACTGGGTTTTGTCAATGTTTCAAAACCAAAAGGATCCTGTGACTAAATTAGTTGGAGAAAAATAGAATAAATAATTTCTAAAGATCTTTTCAGAGTTTTATAAGCCTATTGTAAGTCTATGCATATGTGAAGAAACCAAAGTGCATTGAGCTACCCATGGGTCACATAGAGAGCCAATCACTGGCTGCTTAGGATCATCTCAGTTCTGATTTTTCTATATTTAGGGTTTAGGAAGGTATATTTGGGTATCTAATCCAAGATCATTGGGGAAAGGTTCAACATTGTTTCCTACCACAGACTGCATGCAGAATTCAGGTACAAGCAGAAAAGAATGCCAGGCAGCTATCTCTACTTATTTATTTTAAGTTACTAATATTACTGTCCCTATCCCTTTGTTTTTGTTGTTGTTCAGTCATGTCTGCCTCTTTGTGACCCCATTTGGGATTTTTTTGGTAATGGTACTGGAGTGGTTTGCTATTTCCTTCTCCAGAAGAGGAAATGGAGGCAAACAGGGTTAAGTGACTTATCCAGGGTCATACAGATAATAAATGTCTGAGGCTGGATTTGAACTCAGGATGATGAGTCTTCCTGACTTCAGGTCCAGCTCTCTATCCACTTTGCCATGTGGCTGCTCCTCCAGCCCTTTGTTTACTTCTCTTCAAAAGGCAGAAAGCTATGGTGATGCTGCAAGTGTGAACTCTTCTCCTCTTCACAGGTGGTTTGGGACCAGATCAACCATTGTACATTAAAGTTACGCCAGTCAACAGGCCTAATGGAATACTGCCTAGAGGTGATCAAAGAAAATGACCCCTCTGGGTTTTTGCAGGTAAGTGTCTTCTTCATGATCTTTGCTATGGGAAGGAGGGTGTTTTTTCTCTCTTTTCTACCAGCACTGCCACTGCTCACACTTTGTAATTAGAAATAAAACCCTTTCCCATGGATTTGGAATTATATTGCTATTAGAAGCTTTCTATTAGAAGAACATTATATCATAATATTCTAGAAGTAGATAGGTGGTCCAGTAGATAGAGGACTTCATCTGGAGTCAGGAAGATCTGAATTCAAATCCAGCCTCAGCACTTAATGACCCTGGGCAAGTCACTTAGCCTCTATTGGCCTCAGTTCCCTCAAATATAAAATGTAGGTAATAACATCATTTACCTTGTGGGTTGTTGTATGTGCAAATGAGATATTTACAAAGTGCTTGGCATAGTGCCTGGCACATAGTAGGTGCTATATAAATATTTGCTCCCTTCTCCCCCTTCATAATGGTGAAAAGAACACTGGCCTAGATGCCAAATGAGATGGGTACTTGTTTTGACTCTTATAATAACTAGAGAGTATAAGCAAGTCACTCAACCTCTGTAGGCCTCAGTTTTCTTATCTGTGAAATGGGGATTGTTGTACTGAACGAGTTTTAAATTTCCTCCCAACTCTGACATTGTATGATTCTACATTTTTGTGTTTTGCTAACCATACTTCTACTCTTTTGTCTAATCCCCTGTAGAAAAGCCAAGGATGAGGATCAAGTGACCTCTGTATAGCAAGTTGGGCACAGTCCAGTGATGTCAGGCTGCTTAACAGAGTGTCCACTGATGGCAAGCCAATGCTGTCATTTCTTCTCACGTTCAAAAGTGCAAGTTCCCACAGGACAGAACAAATTTCCAGTTGTCCTCTGGGGTAATCCAGACTTATTTAGAATTTGATTCCTAGCATAGCAGACCAGCTCAGAGTTGTACAGTTTCTGAAATAAAACAGTGAGGCAGATCTAAGTGTGACCTTCTTTCTATAGAGGGAATGAGCAATTACCTTGATTATTCCTAAGGACTCTGCAGAGACAAATGAAAGTTACTAAGAGCTACTCATGCTTTGTCCATGTTCCCAGGAACCAAAGATTCCTACAATCTTATCCTGGCCTTAGGTAAGAGCCACCCACTTCTTGGCAGAGAGGTGATGGATTAGGACTGTAGAACAAGACATTTTAAGATGTGGCCAATGTGATTAATTGTTTTTCTAGCTATATTTATTGTCAAGGAAGGATTTCTATGGAGAAGTGAGAAGGAAAGTTAGTGGATGGTAATAGGAATGCAAAAAAAAAAGGAAAGAAAAGGGAATCAATAAAACATTTTAAAGAACACAGAAGAACAGAAGAAAACAAGAATTTCCAAAAGGACACAGTACTTGGTACACAGTAGGAAGTTAGTAAATTCATGTTTATTGATTTATTTACAGAAATAAACAGGACAAGTTTATTACTATCAAATTAAATTTAATACACATTCTAAAAAGACAAATTATATTTACAGAAGTTCATAATTTCATACAAAATGTTTTTTTGTATCCTGAAATGTTTATATTCATTGGTAATTGTTAAATACATTAAGTACAAATTAAGTCAATCCTGGGCAAGTCACTTGAGCCTGTTTGCCTCAGTTTCCTCATCTGTCAAATGAACTGGTGAAGGAAATGGCAAACCACTCCAGTATCTCTGCCAAGAAAACCTAAATAGGGTCACAAAGAGCCAGACATGACTGAAAAATGACTGAACTATGTGCCAGTCATAATGCTAACTTGATCCTGATAACAACCCTATGAGGTAGGTCCTATTATTGCCCCCATTTTACAATTGAGGAAACTGAGGTAGACAGAGGTTGGATGGCTCGACCAAGGTCACATAGCTGTTAAGTGTCAGAGGCAGGATTTGAATTCAGATATTCTTGACTTGAGGTCTATTGCTCTATCCTCTGTACCACCTAGCTGCTTCTAACACTTAAAGGAACTAGTAATTCTAAGAGGTAGGAGTGAAGAAGTACATTCTAAGCATGGCAGACAGCCATAGGAGATGGGGTGTCATGTGTGAGGAAAAGAAGTCTAGTTTAGCTGAATGGTAAATTGGGTGGTGCTATGAACATGATGCTAATGGGGTTGAGATGACAGACTATGGGACAGCCTTGAAAAAACCAACCAAGTAAAATGAGATATAAGTGATTTTCAGCAACTCAGTTTATTTTCTTTTGCTCTTAAGAATCTATCAAATCCAGCCTTAGACACTTGGCACTTGCTAGCTGTGTGACCCTGGGCCAAGTCATTTAACCCCGAGTTCCTCACTAAAAAAGCAAAAAAAAAAAAAAGAATCTACTTGATAAAACACTCAACTAATTTTAAAAAATTGAAATAAGTATTACCCTTGCTACAAAAGATATCTTTTTTTTATTTCACAGAAGGATTCACTGCAGGGTTCTTTTAAATAACAAATGTCACATTTCAAATGTGATTTCATTTTCAAAATAAATTTTTTACAAAATAATATTAGGTAGCATTTACATGGTACTTTAGGATTTGCAATGAGCTTTACATGTTGTCTCATTTGATCCTCATAACAACTCTGTGAAGTGAGTGCTATTATTATCTCAATTTTATAGATGAGGAAACTGAGGAAGACTTGGTTAATTGATTTGCCTAAGGTCACAGAGCTAGTAAATCTCTATGATTTGATTTGAACTCAGTCCTCCTGGCTCAAAGTGCAGCATTCTCTCCATTGTGCCACCTGGCTGCTACATTTTCTCATGAGACTCATCAAGTGAGGTAGTCAGAAACAAAGTTGAAGTCTCTGGCTCTGGCTAGGTCTCTCTCTCTCTCTCTCTCTCTCTCTCTCTCTCTCTCTCTCTCTCTCTCTCTCTCTCTCTCTCTCTCTCCCCCCCCCCCTCTGAAGTATCTAGGATGCTTGAGCCTAAACAAATCACTTAGTGGTTTCCTGTTCTTGATCCCCAAAGGCTGAAAATAAACCTGTCCTCTCAACTTTCTATTTATCCTTCCCTTTGAAGATTCGTAGCCCAAACCTAATGGTTTCTTTAAGATTTCAGATGCTCTGATCAAGCGTGTCCAGGTGTCTCAAGAGCAGTGGGTCAAAGGAGCTTTGGAGCCCAAGGTGTCTGCAGAGTTTGACTTGACCTTGGACAGTGAGCCTCTGCTGCAGGCTATCCATCAGCTGGACTTCATCCAGATGAAATGTAGGGGTGAGCTTTGGTTGGGCATGTGTTCAATGCTTCTTTTGGTGAACATTTGTTCGGTAGCAGCACTGTAGGTGATATCCAGGGCAATAGTAATGACCAAGCCCAGTTCTCTAAGGTCCAAGGTCTCCTGTTTAAAAAAAAAAAAGTAGGGTTGGAATGGCTAAGGGATAGGGATATACCACTGGATTCAATCAGAATGAAATACCATTTCCAAGGAGAGAGACATAGCACATTGCTAACTTTGATTAGTAAGCAAAGAAAACTTAATCTCAATTCAATAGGACGCTTTAATAGAGCTACCCAGAGAATCCATGAAAATAATACTGTGTAGTGAGGAATGCAGCAGAAGTCCATAGTGGAGTTCTCTACTGCCTCTGGTCTTCAGAGAAAGGCCACTGGAAGCTTCAAGGGAATATCTTTCTCCCCCAAAGGCCTAGTTATAGTGTAATGAGGAAAAAGAGGAGGACTACTCCTACTCAGCCCAATCTGCATGCTATTCCAGTTGTGTATTTGGAAGAATGAATAGTGAGCTTTAGTCGGTAAAACACCAAAGAGGTGGGTTATTTCCATGGAAGCTGAGACACTTCAGATTTTTGCCTTGGAGGCATTCACCTATATCCATTTTAAAGAAAAGAGAGACTCTGAAGAAATACCCTCACCCTTCCCATGAACATATTCCCAGGCTTATGCCCACTTTCATAGTTTGGTGCTGGAAGAATTTTTAAGCTCATCTGGAGACACAGTTTGGAAATGCTGCTGTGTCGATATAAATGAAGCTACTTGGAGCAATACTGACCATTGCTTCAGAGCCTTGGCTCAGAGAGTTGGTGAGAGAGCTCCAATAAAAGCTCACCATCCTTCTTCACCTATGGGACCCTGGGACTGGTATTATAAGGATAGGAGTCTATTTCAGCCTTCCCAAAAGACTTGGTGAAGGCAAGAGGTTCTGCACTGATTGGTCCAACCACTGTCTCCAAAAGGAGAGGGGAAATGACAGTGAGAAATCGATTTTTTTAAAGAAAAAAAAAGCAGAGAAATTGCCACAGGACAAAGAAATAAATGCAAAATGGAGATTTTATTTAGTTTTTAAATGAGGGACTAGAGGTGTCAGTCTATGTCTACTTGTCCCTGAATTCATGGTTCAACTGTATTCCAAACCAATTTTAAGCCAACCAAACCATGACCCCCAAACTGGAAAACCTGAACCTGAGCTAAAGGTTTCAATCAATCAACTTCCCAATGAAATCGCTTTAATCTATTAGAACCTGTGCATTTTCTTTAAAAAAAACTTAACTGAATTTTGGGGGGAGAAATTAAAATATACTCCCAGTCATACTTGAGGGGATTATATCCCCATGCCAGATTCTAAAGCACTTTGATTTGTCAAGCCTGAGGCAGGTTGATCCTGAGAAAAGGAGTGAGTAGACACAGCATCTCCTGGAAAAATGAGGCTGATCCCTGATGTGGGCTGATCCACTGGCAGAAGGGCAGCACATCCCTAGGCAGACTGGGGATAAGTGGCAGGCAAGAGTAGGGTTCTTTGGACCACTTTCTACCTGAGAAAAGAGGCCCTTCAGGTACCTCCCTTCTCCATGGAGGAAGGGTACTCTAGGGGCCTGATAAAACTCCTCCCAGACAAAGGAGCAATGCAGCTCCCAGACAGCCTCAGGGCAAAGTGTTTGGCTGTAAGAAGTCCCTCTGACCATGATCATCCTTGGAGAAGGAGAACTTCAGGGCCCCTGGTCCTCTCAAGACAAGGATCTAGCAGGTTCTATGCTGGGAGTGTAAAATATGTTTCGAACTGGGCAAAGGGGGAGCACAGCTCCAGGGCAGCCCCAGGATAAGTGGTGGGCTAGAAATTAGTCCCCTAACCATGAACTATCGCCATTGATCCTAACTGAATTTGCCTTAGCCCACAGAATTCCTGGTTATGACTGCTGCTTCTATACTTAGTTCACTATCCCTATGACCAAGCTTCTGCCTTAAGGCTACTTTGAATGTTTTCAAATTAATAAATTTCTGAACGGAATACTGGAAAGGCCTAGACCATGAGTTGGAAGACTTGGGTTCTAATCCTAGCTCTGCTACTTAATTCTTGTTTGACTTTGGGGAGGTCATTTAATCTTTCTGATCCTCAACTTCTTCATCTTTAAAATGTGATGTTGGAACACATAAACCTTAAAGTCCCTTCAAGTTCTGATATGAAGGGTCTGACCAAAGGTGCATATATATATTTGGGATTCCTGACAAACTCCTTGAGGTTGCTAACTTGGAGACTGTCAAGGAGAGATTCAAAACCCAATTAAGTTTTCTGTGGCCGTGACTCACAGTGGTTGTAGTTATCACTTGGATAAGGGGAAGGGATGATTTTTTGGATGTAACCTTCGGATACCAGATGGGGAAGGATAGGGTTACACTAACCTGTGCTCAGTTCCTGTCGCAGTGCCTCCCGTCCCTTTACTGCAGCTGGAGAAGTGCTGCACCCGAAATAACAGTGTCACCCTTGCCTGGAGAATGCCACCTTTTATCCATAGCCCTGTGGAAGGCTATATCCTGGAGCTGGATGATGGGGATGGTGGGCAGTTTCGGGTGAGCTCATCTGTTCTAGGAGTCTGAATGGCATGCAGGTGATGATGATGGTGGTGGTGGTGATGATGACAATCTAGATAACTTTCCTCTCTGTGGCAGCAAAGCAAGATTTTTTCCACAGACTTCTCCCTGGATTCAGCCTTTGGAAGTCAGGAGACACAGGTTCTGATCTCAGCTCTGATGCTATCTAGCTAGGATATTGGATAACTTACTTAACCTCTTTGGTTAGCCTCAGTTTCATTATCTGTACAATTGGGATTGAACTAAATGACCTATGGTCCTATCCTTACTCTAAAGTCAAAAGGAACTAATCTGAGATCTTAGAAATAGGGTGAATACTAATACCAAGGCAGTATCTGACTAAGGAAAATTGGTTTCTGATTGATATATATATGGTTTCAAGCAGGGGGAAGAACCAAATACAGTGTAGTGTTCAAGATCATTTTAAGAAGTAGCACAGAACCCAGAAACAGTATCAAGTGTATGAGGATGTCATTTGCATATGTATAATTCTGAGTTTCACTCTATTTATCCAAATGCTATCCTTATGGAGTATCACCTTTGTCAGTCTACTTAAATAGCATCCTCTTCTGAATCTGCAGCATTTATTGTGTGTACTATTCATATTGTCCAAGGAAGATAGCATGGTGTAGTGGATAGAGTGCTTGCTTGACACAGAATCAGGAATACCTATGTTCAAATCTCACATCTGAGCAAGCCCCTTAAAAGGGTGTAGAATATACCAAGAATCACAAAGTTTTGAGACTCTCCAGAGATATACTTAGCAGTTGATACATAGTAATGAAGAAACTGAATTATAAGAGTGTTGATATTCCTGATCTAAATGAAATCAGAAATCCCAAATAAGTTGCAGCTAAATGGCAAAATAGCTCACAAATTCTCTTTGGAAAAGTAAATGAAGGAGCTAGTAGTGTAGACTTGAAAGTACATCCAAAGGCAAAGAGAAACAGCATTTCACAGGACTTCTGGTTATTTCTTATTGCAGGGCTCAGGATAAGCATGTGCAAAAAGGCTATTATGAAGGTAATTGCAGTTTATGTGACAAATTTTTTTGCAGAGAATAAGGAAACAGAAATTCTACAAGTAATCCATTATAAGTCTTCCAATTTGAATCAACATATAATTTGGTACTTTATGACTTCACTGCAAAGGTAGTCATAGGGAAAGACAGTAAAAAGTGTCTTCGAAAAGATAGCTTTAGAAGTAAGATATAAGGGGTAAGAGGCTTGCGGAGGAATAGAGAAGAAGCTTCATGCCTGCATATCAAGAATACTTCTTAATAAGAGAATCAGAATATTTAGGACATGGTGAATGCCAAGTATCATCAAAAAATGAAATTATTTATATTTTGACACACAGAAAATGACTGGCTACCAATGTAAGAGTCATTGTGCACTCTGTTCCACTACAATACAAAAAGCATTTATTGAAGTTATTCTATACGCAAGAGCTGTGGTGAGCAGTAGGGATTCAAAGACAGGACAAAAACTATTTTGCTGTTCCTTTCTATGTACAGTCAAATCAACAATTTGTTAATGCAAAGATCAAAATCAATTCCAAATTAGAAGAAAAGATAAAAGTGAGAAGAGTACATGGAGCACAACTAAGGCTACTCCAATCCGAACTGTTGAAGCTGTTAAGTAGGAAATGGATAAAAAATAGACATCTACATAGACTATCACCATTTCCTAAGGGAGTTTAACTGATATAAATCAATGGCCATAACAGGGGAATTTTAAAAGCATAGATTCTATGCAAGCCAGAAAACACTTGATTTCCTTCTAGAATCAACAGATGGCAGGTGGAACAACCCTGGCTTAGTACATAAACTCATTTGTAAAGTCTTACAGAAAAAGATAATAGAAGATTATGAGAAGAATTGCCTTACAAATTATCAAGAAGCAGTAGATCAAAAGAAAAGTTTATGGAAAGGTCATTTGTCAAGAAGACCAATTAAGCTATAGCATCCCAAAGACATTTAGAGATAAAATTGGATATAGGACAATAAACAGATGAAAAATAGACAAAAGACTGGGTATGGTAGTACAGTCCTGTAATTCATGCTGTTAGAGGAGGATGAAGCTGGGAGATTATTTGAGTTCTGGAGCTCCAAGCTGCAGTAGGGCTGAAACCAATTAAATATCTGCACTAAATCTAGCATCAATAGGGAGAGCCCAAAAGAAGTGGCAGGGAGAGGGGAACACCACACAGCCCAAGGAGGGACAAACCAACCAAGGTCAGAAATGAAGCAGATCAAAGCTTCCCTGCCTATTAGTAGTGCTATTGGGCAATGTGACTGATTGTTGCACTTCCAACCTAGGCAAGATAGAGAGATCCAGTCAAGATGTGGGGAGAGAGGGAAATGGGGGGGGGGGGAGAGAGAGAGAGAGAGAGAGAGAGAGAGAGAGAGAGAGAGAGAGAATGCAAAATATCAATATGAATGAATGAATGAAAAAGTTTAAATGCTTATTATGTGCCAGACATTATGTTAAGCACTGGGAATACAAGTAAGCAAGTCTCTTCCCTGGAGTTTATATTTTAATAAGAGAAGACAACACATAAAGGAGAAGGGTGGCCAGGAGAAATGTTTTGGACCAGGAAGTCAGAAGATAGATAGATAGAGCAACTGTAAGTCAAATGACTGACATATCCTTTCCAGGAATAATAATGTTCACTTGACTACTGTTCTCACTGATAGAATTGGAAGGTGGGACTGAGAATTGGGGGCAGAGAATACAGAGGCATTGCATAGAGATTCTGAGAAGTGATGTGATGGGCCTGAGAACAGGCAAGATAAGGCAATAAAATAAGGTAACACGCAATGCTCACCAATCAGAAGTCAGAGTCACATGGATGGGAGCTTGAGTTCTGGTTGGAGGTAGGGATTTCTATAACAAACTGCTTTCTCCACAAATGACAGATGTCTTCACACTTGAATCATAATATCACAGTCACTGGTGTACTGTACAAGAAGTCACTAGAAAAGAAAGGAAGAACAGTTAAACTAGACCAAGTATACACAGAGATCTGTGCTGGAAGCAACACAATGTAGAGGACATTGAGAGATTAATTCTTGGGCTATCTGAAAAAAGGAAAGATACCAATCACTTATAGAAAAAAACCCCTATATTTTATGATTACCCCAAAAAAGTGATTAAGAAAGTATCAATAACTACCATTCCATAAACCTGTCTTTCCATCCACATAGAGTCTTTTAAATATGTTTTTATAATAATAATAAACACATGCATTGAGAATATCCTTGATGAAAGCTTGAGAAGGGAACAGGCAGATTTTCACAAATCGTATCCTGCTTTAGGCTATTCTTTTCAGTCACATAATGACTGGATGGAAATGTGCAAAGAATACATGATCCCATTATGCTTATTGTTGGCTGACTATTAAAAAATGTTATACTATAAAGTAAAATGCCACTTTAAAGGCTTTCTTTCAACAAGGCAACTACCATGCATAGATCAAAATTATATTAGAGTCCAAGAAAGAAAGAATAACAGATAACTTTGTTCAATGACTCCCTGATAATTAATCCAAAAGAAGTATAAAACCACCAAATGTGTGCTCACCAAATATCATTGCCACTGCCATGGAGGAGGTCTGAATAAGAGGCCAAATTAAAGAGGGATTCTTTATAGATGGTGAGGTCCTCCAGATTCTTGTGTTTTCAGATCACACTGTACTAGATATATTAAGCCCTAAAACATTGCAGAATTTCCTGTTGAGATCTCTACTCAATCAAAAAGTTCACCCACCAATTCAAACGGGGAAAAAAACAAGTGGATGAATAGTTGTCCAGACTATTATATGCATTTTGATGTATAAGTCACATATCTGGTCTACCAGTGCATATATCTGGACAGGTACTGCACATGGACAATGAACTAGCCCCAGAATTGACCAGGACAATGAAATTAGGCTGCATTGCCTTTGGGCAATCAAACAATGTTTTTAATGAACTCAGGTTTCTCCCTGAGACAAAGGCTCGTTTTTTTAAACTTCAGCATTATTTTGGTGATACTGTATAATTTCAAGCCATAGAATAACACAGAAACCTAGCAGGGAGGCACATGACTAGGAAAACCCAGGTAGCCAGGGCACTTCATAACTCGAGATGTCTGCTTTGTCCTTGGTTTCTTTGGAGAATACCTGTACCACTAGTCACCTTCTGGGCAAAACTACTTCTCTGATATCTGCTTTCCTCCTTGTCCTCACAGCTTTCTTGATGGACAAAGTTGCCTCTGGGCTGCTCTTGGGATGTTAAAGCAATGATAAGCTCCAACTTCCAATAGCCAGCCTTAACAGGGTGCTGAAAAAAGTATTATGCTCTTTTAGTGTCAAACAATGGCCTTAAACTGGAGAACTACTAAGCTCTCTGAGGTCAGCTCTGTGGAGTTTCTCCCTCTCAAGTTGTATATAGCAATAGGGCCATGCACCCTTACCCCAGCCAGCTCCTCAAATAGCAGGGAATTCTGTTTTATCCAATCATTTCTCAACAAAGTTCCGCCTCTTTTCAAAGCAAAGAAGATGCAAAGCATGCCTTTCCCACTCTGTCTAACCAGAGAGCAGAGGAAAATAAAGGGTAATGCAGGCAAACACTTGAGAAATTTCCCTTTTCTAAGGCTGTAGATGGCACTAGAGGATAATACTGCATTTCTTCAACCAATCAACTCTCAGAAAAGCAGCTTCTCTCTTCTAATCAGCACAGTTCCCAACAAAACAGCTGTAGATCCTTCCTATAAGCCTTGATCAGCTTCTGTCAGCTGCTATACTCTGTTTTCTATAAGTAACTACTGTTGTAGCCTTCTGTATCTTCTGTCTCTGACTCTCCTACTTCTATCTTTACCTGATCATCTCTTTCTCCTTATTTTAGCTCCTTCTTCCTAGCTTCTAGTCCCTCAAATAAGTACTCATAAAAAAGATCAATTTGCAACTTATGATGTGAAAATCAAGAATTGTACTTTTCTTTCAGTTATGACCTCAAATGCTCTCATATGACTGTCTCATATTCCCCAGTTATTTGATTTATAATTAACTACATCTTTCAAAGAACTGAAAATAGTAATATACAAATGAGCTAATAGACCATAGTGGCCTGAATCCAATTATCTCAGTCAATGATCTGCCTTCAAATAGTTCTTCATGTACTCATTTATCTCAGGGGCAATTCTCTCTCAGATCCTCAGGAGCATCTGAATCTTCTATCAACATTTTATCTGAGAGGCTATTTTTTCTTCAAGCTGATCTTATCACTTTTCCTTACCAAAGCAGTATTCTTGTTCTGCCCCTTTCAGTTACCAACATATTCACATATATAAGGAGCAGAATCTTTCAGCAAAAATTTTTTGTCCTATTCCCAATGTCTAGCATAATGCCTGGTCATGGTAGGTGATTAATAAATTATTGTTGGGTTGAATTGAATTGAATTAGATAACAGATACTACTGGCTAGAGGAGGTTATCAAGTCAATATATGTCAGCCAGCTTGATATTACTAAGTACTCTGAATTGATGACCAGCTTTAATGTTGGGCTGATCTTCTGCTTTGAGGTGACCCAGGGCAATAAGGGATCATTGATTATTATGATTCTTACTCCAACAATAGCTGCTATGAAGTTCTATGAAAATCATAGGATCATAAGGCTTATAGCTGAGAGTAAATTTAGATATCATTAGATCTACTCCTGCTCCCCACCCCCCAGGAAAGTCTTAAGTTACTGAATTATTATCTACTTATTGCTTTTGTGCCATTTCCTAATTGAGATGTACAAATAGGAAAAAAACTTAACAATCTTGCTTCTCATTTAGGAAGTCTATGTTGGCAAGGAAACCCTCTGCACCATTGATGGCCTTCATTTCAACAGTACATACAATGCAAGAGTCAAGGCTTTCAATTCCTCTGGAGTTGGGCCTTATAGCAAGACTGTTGTTCTCCAGACATCTGATGGTGAGTCTTGTTTACATTTTTCTTCAGAAGGTGACAGATATGGCCACACATGTCCCTGGTTTCCTCTGGAATATTTATTTCCCTAAGGATGCAAACCTGGACTGCATTTCATCTTGAGGGTGGGATGGCCTGATAGCAGCAAACATTGCAAGGGAAACATCAGCAGCTTAGAACACAGAACTAATATGTTGTTATACTCCTTGCTCTGACATAAGATAACAAGATGCCTACTTCATCTTGTCCTAAGAACACAGAAATATCCCTCCTTGTCTATACCTAACCCCATGCAGCAACTAGAACAGCTATTCTTTAGTCACCTGTGTGAGAGACTAAAAATCCACCAGTCCTAGAAGGTTGGGAAGATTCCCTTGATGTCCAAGCTATGCTGGTGGGCTAGGCATGGAGCCGCCTGGGCGGTAGGGTTGTTGTTGCTGCTGCTGCTTGCTGCATGTGATGACCTCTGAATGGCATTTGATGTTGTAAGGTTGAATGAGTTTCAGTCTCTAGGGCTTTAGCCCTTTCTACTCACACTAACACATTCATCAAAAACAAAGTGAAAAGAGCTCAGATGTGACAGCTGGCTTTATTTAGCCTAAACACCCATCTGGTTTTTAGGTCATGTGAGTACATTTATAGATAATCAGATCCTGATTTTCCATGCCAGTAGTTGGGAACAATACCAGGGACAGAGAATCAAAATCCATGGATATTTTGCCTCTGCTAGATCAAGGCCACAGCTTTCCCTTTTCCCCAGCTGCTGTCCCTTCCTTGCCCCACAGTGGCCTACTCCCTATTACTCATTCACTGCTTACTGTTCATAAAGAATCAGAAGTTCCACATTGTAACCCAGGTGACCATGCTCCCAGGGGAGCATAAGAGCCCAAGAAGCAGCAAAAATAAAGGGGGAAGCTGGTCAGTATTTTTTTTTCACAAGCCATTTCAATCAGTGCATAAACTTTGGCACCTTCTCTGCAATGGGTAGCGTTAGACGCTGGGGTGGGGAACCTGCCGGAAGTACTCAGCAGTTAAATGTCTTGCTGAGGTCACACAGCCAAAATGTATCAGAGGTAACAGTAGATCTGCCTGCTAGATGCATATTTAAAATATTCCAGCTTACAAAACAACTAGACAACTCTAAAAATGTTCACCAGCCTCCCTTACCCTTGTGGATGGGTTCTGTTCTTCACTATGTAAAGTCGGGCAAATTGAGTAACATCTCTGTGTCTCAGTTTCCTCATCTATAAAATGAGGATTGGAGTAGATTCCCTCACAACTTTAAACTCTATGATGCTAGCAGCATGGCACACCTCACGGCAGTGGACTTCAGTAACCTAAACCTTTGCCAGGAGGAAAAGATGAGGAAGGAATACCTTCCAGGTATAGGGGTCAGCCAATGTAAGGATATGTAAAAATAAGATGGAGAGTCAAATATGCAGCAAATTACAATCCAGCACAGGGCATGCGATAGAGAGTAATGTGTAAGAGGCTGGAAAAGTAGGTTGGGACCAGGTGGGGAATGATCAACAGAAGAGTTCATAATTGATTCTAGAACTAATAGGGAGCCACTGGAGTTTACTGAGTAGGGAAGTGACATGGTCGGATCAATATTTTATGAATAATTTCTTTGGTAGCTGTGTGGAGCCCTTTTTCTATCAGACTGAGAAGGGAGAAAGGATTTATATAGTGCCTGCTTTGTGCCAGGCACTGAGCTAAGTCCCTTCTATAATTATTATCTCATTTTATCATCACAACAACCCTGTTGGGGTAGGTGCTTTTTTTAACCCCATTTCCCAGTTGAGGAAACTGAGGAAAACAGAGGTTACATGTCTTGCCCAGGGTCACCCAGAAAGTAAATGTCTGAGCACAAATTTGAACTCAGCTCTGTCTCTCTGTCTCTCTCTCTCTCTCTTTCTCTCTCTCTCTCTCTCTCTCTCTCTCTCTCTCTCTCTCTCTCTCATCTCTTTCTGGTACAGTGGCCTGGTTCACATTTGACCCCAACTCTGGCCACCGGGACATCGTCCTATCAAATGACAACCAGACAGCTACATGTAGCAGTTATGATGACCGGGTGGTGCTGGGCACAGCAGCTTTTTCCAAGGGAGTCCATTACTGGGAATTCCACGTGGACCGATATGACAACCATCCGGATCCAGCTTTTGGTGTAGCCAGAGTTAATGTGGTCAAGGATATGATGCTGGGCAAGGATGACAAGGCCTGGGCCATGTACGTGGACAATAACCGCAGCTGGTTCATGCACTGCAACTCCCACACCAACCGGTGAGTGGTCCTGGGCTTGACTATCAGCTGTCCCTTATGATCTGGGCTCACTGGTATCTCTCTGAATGAACCTTCCCATTTGAGTGATGTCCTTCTCTTCTTCTGTTTTATAATCATCATCATCTGGGATGCTGGGAAACATTTTAGTTACTCTTGGTCCCTATTTTCAAGAGGGAAAAGTGACCCAGAGCACAAGTAGGGGGAAATGATTACTTGGCTCAGTACAAGATGGTACTAGGAGCAAGAGATAAGTTGAGAAACAGCAACAACAACCACATACATCTTCCTTTATTAGTTCCTATTCAGCCCATCTCCTCCACAGTCAGCCATGGCAAGGATTTGTGCCCTAGCTTTAAAAGGTCTCTTGTGAATTGAACTTCCTCATTTCCTGAAACTTTGCACTTTAACCCAAAACTCACTTCCCTCAAATTCACAGTTCTTCTTTAATTAAATGGCTACTGCAGCCAAGTGCCATTAGACACTAATTGGTTCCTGTTCTTTGGGATTTTATGCCTCTGTCTTATTGAGGATAGTTTCCCTCCCTGGCTTTGGGATGTGCATGCTTTGTCCAGCATTCATTGTGTTCCAAACTCAGTTTCATGCTTCCTCTAGCAGGGGTTACTCAGGGGAAAGAGGGTTCCATTTCTTTTCACTTTGCAAATAGGCACATTGTACCTCCTAGATCATTGATATAGTGCTGGAACGGACTTCACAAGCCCTCTATAACCTCCTCCTTTCACATGTGAGGAAACTGGGGCTGCTCAGTTAGGTGAAATATCTAAGATCACAGAGATAGTAAGTGTCACAGGCAGGATTTGAACCCAGGTCTTGTGACTTCAGAGAGAATAGTTTTTCCACTGTACCACATTGCTGTCTATCTGCCTGCTTTTGCTTGAGTATAAGGCAACAGAAGCAAATTACAGGAGATAAAAATACCTAAAAAGAACCATGTTTTATTTATCTTTATGTATCCCTTAGCACTGAGTATATGCACACTATATGCATAAAATAAATAGCAAGCTCTCAGTAAATAGTGTTGGAATCAAATGAGTGAAAGAAAAGAATTTTTTTAAAAAGAATTAAGTTAACAGGCTTATTGTAACCTCCGAGTACAGGAGGGCTGATTAAGACCTGACCAACCTAAGGTAGGTTGCAGCAGGGGAGACTGGTGTTCTATTTAGCCTGGTTGGAGAGAGGTATCTGCAATGCCTGGACTCACTCCAGTATTTCATGGTCACCTTGGTCACTCTCCTTAACCACAGTGAATGCAACAGCACCGACCTGACTCCTCCCTTCTCTACTCAGTGCCCTCTTTCTGTTTCTCTAGAGAGATTTCGTCTTTATCCTCTGCCAGGGTATACAAGGAATGGAAAATCACTGAAATCAGTCAATGTGCTCTCCTCTGGCCGAGAAACCTAGAAACAGAGAGGGAGAAGGCCCCAAGCCACACTTTGCTTCTAGATTTTCCATGTGCTATTCTCTCTCTTCAACCAGAAAGGAAGGAGGGTTAGAGAAATCTAAAGGGCAAGGCTGGAAATTGAGTCTGCAAAAGGAAATTCTTTGGTTTCCTCTGTCTTGCTTGGCTCTTTCTGGCAAATCCCTTAAAAATAGCAATCAGATATTTCTCCCAGACACTGAAAGGTGTCATCTTTTTCTTATTGGGAAACCTAGACCTGCAAGAGGGAAGTAATTTGCCCAAGGGTTTCCTCTGTCTTGCTTGGCTCTTTCTGACAAACCCCTTAGAAATAGCAATCAGATATTTCTCCCAGACACTGAAAGGTGTCATCTTTTTCTTATTGGGAAACCTAGACCTGCAAGAGGGAAGTACTTTGCCCAAGGGTACCCTAATGGTCCAGAGAAGAACTGAAAACCGTGGAAACCCCCTCCCCAACCTCCTTTAGGTAGAGCTGTATTTGTCCTAATGGCATGCATATGGCTATTTTTAGGGGAGAGGGATCTCGGTTCAGTCTTTACTCTCTGGCCCATGCCCTTACAAAGTGGGAGACCATCTTCTGGCCCAGATTCTTGAGGACACGTCACTTTCTTCCCTGTTTTCTGTAGTTAAGAGAGATTTGTCCAGTCAGGCCTTTAGTTAGCCTTTAGTAAGGAAATGGAGACTGGGAAACTTATAGGACTGTAATTTGCAGAGAACCCAACAATCTCATGGGCACCACTGATTTCAGTTTCTTCCCTCTCCAGATCTTTAAGTTATGAGGATGAGGCTTAGAGTTATTGGCAGCATATGTACTGAAAGGCCACAGGAGAAGGCAGAGGGAGGGAGGCACTCTGGATTTCTTCAGTATCTGGGGCTAACAGGTTTATAGAAGATACTGCTGGAGAAGGCTTTCAGGCAACAGTCAGGAGACTAGGAGGGGTAGAGATGGAGCCAGTTAAGTTTGGGGAAGAAGGATGTTTGAATCTGTTCAAGACAAAGGCTGGCTTCACCTACCAGAGTACGGCATCTTTGTCGCCATGCTATCAACCACTTCCCTATCCTGTACTGCCACACTGTGGTCTCTCTCAAAACAGCACTAGCACTGATTGTCTATGGCGTTGCAGGACCCTGAATCCCCAGCCCCAGACACATCCTTGCTCTGCACTGTGAGGGAGCCTTTCCACAGCCAGTATTAGGGGGGAAAAATTGTGAAAAGATAAGGTCTATCTTCAGTGTCTCCAATTCCCCTTTTAAAGCTTTCCCTCCCCCTTCATTATAACCTAAATTCATTCCTCTTTCCTGTTCCTACTCCAACCAAATTAAAAAATCTTTCAGATAAGGGATGAACTCATTTGTACTAAGGCATAAATATTTAAAATATCACCTCTTACGAAAGGATTTGAATTTTTAGTAGATACCAATGCTGAAATAGCTCTAATATGTTTTCAAGTACCAGGATGAGTTGATGGGCAGGATTTTTTTTTTTCTAAATGAGAGCCTTAGATCATACCATCAGTGAAAGTTAGGCTGATAGGGAGATTTATTTTGAACTACTCAGTCAGTCAACAAAGATTTATAAAGCTCTTACTGTGTTCAAGATATTGTGCTAAGTGCTAAGGATATTAAAAAAAAAAGGCAAAAACACAGACCCTGCCCTCAGGAGCTCACATACTAATGAACTACTGTTGGAAAAAGTTAGTTTATACATAAAACATGACCCTTGATTACTCTGACAAGGGTCTGTCTAGCAGGGGTGGGGAACCTGTGGCCTTGAAGCCACATGTGGCCCTCTAGGTCTTCAAGTTTGGCCCTTTGACTGAATCCAAACTGGATTCCAATTCCCTTCATTTGAAGTTTGGATTTTGAAGTTTCCTGGTCTAAAGTTTAAACTCAAGATTGGGGAGGAAAGAGCTTAGGTCCTCAGACAGAAATAGTTACGAGTTGAGTAAAGAACCTTGGCAGCTTTGGCTGGGAATATAGTTGCCATGGGAGAAATGTCAATTTCTCTCAAAGGAAATGAGACAAAGCCCAGATGAGTGATTGGGGAGAAAAAAAAAGAATTTATTAAGCACCTACTATGTGCCAGGCACACAGTAAGTTCTTATTCCCTGTTCTCCCCTACATACTCTGTGATACAATGATAATGTCCCCCTTGCTGTTAGGAATAGCACACAAGACATCTCATCTCTCCCTCCCAACCTGTGCCTCCTGGCTTTCCTTGCTTCCTTAAAGAACCACCTAAAATCCCACCTTCTGCAACAAGCTTTCCACTATGTCCCTTAATGCTGTTGCTTCCCTCCCCCCCTCCCCAGCCCCACTCCCTTCCAGCCACTGTATTGATTATCTTGAATTTATTCTGTTAAAAGGCTAGACTTGAGGGAACAATTTTCCTTCTTTGGATACTTTAACAAAGGGCTGAGAGGCCTAGAATTTTAACTTATGCTATTAATTACAGTTCTCTCTTTTAGCATTTTTTTGTGAGGAGTAAAGTCATTTCTAGGCAAAAGTGTAAAATCATTTAAGTTCTATTGACTGCACCGTTCCCACTTTGCTGACATACTTGCCCACCTGGCATACTCAGTAACCTCATGCTGCCTTATGCAGCTTCCCAATGAGACCTGCCCTAATCAGGTAGGGCCTAGCTCAAAATATAATCTCTCCCATCAAAACTCTGAACTCCTCAGTACTCTGATCCCAGTTAATTAGGAAGAAGAAAATGTCCAAATAAGGTGAATCTCACTAAGAGGTAGGCTAACTGCTTACTGCATTCACCTTGCTGGGGGTACTTACATTTTAAAAGGAATTTATTTGTGAGAGACAACATGCCTTAGGAAAATGAGTTCTGGGCTTAGAGGTTTAGGTTTGTCTTAACTCTGTCATTGTGTAACTGAGTGACCTCGAGCAAGTCATAAGCTCTCTAAACTTTCCTTATCTGAAAAAGGAAGATAACAGAACTATTGTGAATGCTAGGCTATTAATTAGCCAATAGAGGTCATAAATTTAGAACTGAAAGTCACTTTAGAGATCATCAGGTCTAAGCCGTCTCATTTTAAAGAGTAGGAAACTGAGACCTAGAGAGATTGTGACTTGCTCAAGGACCCACATGCAGTAGCAACAGAGGGGAGATTCAGCTGGGATTCAAAGGTTCTCTGCCTCCAATTCCAGCACTGTTACTTACCCACTGCACCACCAAATTACAAGATATTTATGAAGGTCAAACAAGATAATGTACATAAAAGTGTTCTGAACTTCTTAAAACAAACCACTGGATAAACACTGAATTTACAGCTGCCCAGGAAACATCTGTGCCTATATGCTCCAACCTCAGATTCTTTTATGTCCCAAGTTGAACATCACATCTATCATCTCTAAATTGCTTCCCCACTCTCCCAAACATCCAGTGTCAAAACTTGGGAATTATCTTGGCCCCTTCTCTCCCTCTCCCTCTCCAAGTCTAATGACTTGCTAAGTCCTATTAACTCTACAGTAGTGGTGTCAAAGGCAAATAGAAAGAGGGCCACCAAACCATACATAAGGATCCCTTGAGCTGGTAAATTAACTTAGA